GTGAATAGGCCTAAGTGGATTTTTGACAAGAATAAGAAAACTATATAGTGTTTATGATATAACTATGATCTCCATAATGTAAGGAATTTCTGTACATACGTTTAATTTGTTCCGAATACATATATATATATTATTTTGAAAACAAGTGGAGTGCATGCTGTTCGTTTATTTTTTGAATTTATCGCCAACAAATCACAGACACCTACTGTAGAAAAATCCTTAGTCCAACACACCCATATATTTTAACTTACTATATATAATATAAACAATAAGTTTCCTGACAGAGTCTGTTGCTCTGATGGTATTTTCGCTTCTAGGGAAAACATTGAAACCGTTCTTCTTGGAAATGTAAGGCTTTTTGCAAAAACTCTACATTATTTAACAAATTCGTTATATAAATGTCCTTTCTCGATAAAGATTATGACGTGTATCTCAAGCCATAAAAATCTGTGGCAGCATTGCAGTAATGTGTGGTCGTGAATTTGCCGTGAATTAAATGATTAGATACTAAATTATGGCTCGCATTTGCGGTGACACACCCGTATTATTATATTTAAAGTGTCATTAACCCTATGTATAATCTTTTTTATTGCGAATGTATAACTTAAATAATTTATATCACGTTTTTGTTGTAAATACTATTGGTAAGATGATACTATTACTCTCACACTTTAAAACTCGCCAAGCAGCTGTGCATTATTTGCTTTAGTTCAGAATTTATTTTTAGAAATTTTTCATTGAAGATATTAACGTAAGTTAGTTTTAACTGTTTGTGGGACACGTTGAAAACTAATACCAATTGGTCAAGTGCGTGTACCTTTACGGTGTTCGTCATGTATGAGCATGCGTATGAGAATTTTAGCGTTGTAAATCTGTAGGCTTACTGCTGAGCCACTGGGTGGCTATTGAGTTAGCTTATCTTGATCATAATTTTTCACCGCGACATAGCGGCTCAAAGAATGGCTGAGTTTTTTTTTTTTTTTTCCAAGTACAAACTTTTAGCTCATAGCTCTATCTCTTGAGAGATTTGAGATCTAATTACAGCATAATTTAGCAGTGAAAGACTGGAGGGAAGGCAGCTAGTTATCACTAACCACCACCAATTCTTGGACTACTCTTTTACCAACGAATAGCGGGATTGACCGTCATATTATAACGTCCCCACGACTGAATGGGTGAGCATGTTTCGTAGGACGAGTATTCGAACCCACGCCTTTCAGATTGCGAGGATATAATATGAACAGACCAGTGACATCATTAAGGTGGCAGAGGAAGCGTATGAATACAGCATGTGCTTAAAATATTTTGCCACCTGAAGAATATATTACGCAACAAACATTTTCCCGCTTTTATCTACAAAAGTATTGATTTCGTAACAATTATTCTAGTTATTTACGAGACAAGGGTTATCCCTGGAAATATACTTTGAACGGTTTCATCATTTTCAAACTCGTCTTCGTACAAGAAAAAGCAAGGAGGTTAATACATTCTCTGCCAAATTGTAAACACTAATGTTTTGTTCAGGTGCATCTGATTACTTTATTGTAATAAGAAAAAAAAACATTTAGTTTCTGAGGTTAGAACATGTTCTGGACAGGCGATTCGGGCATTGTCGGCACACTAACTTCTAGGCCTTGCTTGACTTACATAACCTAATAATAAACCTAATCTAAACATGAACAATTCTTATTTAATAAGGCCTAATATTAACGTAACTATTTGAAATGTTTCAATAAGACATTAATACGAAGACAGATAATTTCAGTTTCAAACCAAAATTAATACTAATATAAATAACTGAAATTTTAAGAGTTTATTTTAAAAAGCTTGATATTACTTGTAATGTCAAACGTTGTAATAAAACTTCGTGATAACAGCAGTTTTGTGGAATGTTTCTTTAACAAGTTATATAACATGGCCGAATATGCTTATAGTCAACTTCAAGAAACAGATTAGGTAAATTTGCTTCCTATAGTTGAACTCGAGGATAGTAAACACACACGTAAATCACAAATAAACAACAGTTCTTTAATTTTTTAAAAAGGGGGGGGGGAGATATATATCAAACATATATTGATATAAGACCATTGACCCAAACTAACGACTAAGTAGATTTGCCTTCTCATTTGTTTACCACATAACTGTACATTGGCTATCTGTGCTAAGCTCACTGAAGGGATTCCTAGTTTTAGAATCACAAGGACCAAAAGTCATCACTGAGTCAGTGGGGTGCTTGGCACCTACTAAGTTGTACAAAAATATCAATACTAAGTTACAAGTTGCATGAATTACCTCATCTTCAAGCATGTGTATCATTTCTGAGTGAAGTCTTAGGACATGGTGGTTGCTTGATTGGACATTCATTGCTAGGAATGAAGCGATGCTAGGTTTGAAATGTTATTCCAAGTTAGACGTATGGTATTGCGAAAGTATTAGTATATTTAATGGAAGATTGATGTGAGAAAAAAAAAGTGTACTTTCCTTCTTTATTGGTAAATGGCAAAGGAAACTTAGATGTTCATTTATTTTGTTCAATATCATTGCAGACATGATATTGGCTTCAACTGAGAATAATGCCTTGGCTATGGATGCCTATTAGTTCTAGTACAGCAGCCGAATGACTCTTTTGAACTGCCTTTTAAGAAAGGGCATCCAATATTAAGGCCTTCATGTAGGACACCTTCTCCTGGATGTACTTAGCTTTTCCAAAACACAAAGCTTTGCTGGATGTGTGCCATTTCTGGTTATCGTTTCCCGTAGAAGCTACGAGAATGTTGTTTTAAAACTCATTCATCATACAACTTATGATATGGATCTTAGTTTAGCGACTACTAATGATGGTTCATGTCTAGTTTAAGTCGAACATCTTGTTTTCAGGCATTTTCCTTTCCCTACATACAGTTTAGATGATGATATCTGCTGTAGTGATACAGATGCTAGTGCCTAGCAGGCAGCAAAATCTTTGTGTACTAATACTAACTAGAAATGCTTTCTGCTGCCAGTAAATTTTCAAGGGTGTGGTCTCTCTGTGAGCATAATATTTGGTTATATTTTCTCCAACACTGCTATTTAATTTTTTTCTCCAAAAGCTCTTGAGTTTCTGGTAAAACTAACTTAGAATCCACTAGTTTAAATCTTCTCATGACTAAGCAGTTTCTTCCATTTTTTCATTCACAAGACAAGCGCAAAAGACCTTATTCACATCAACCTTAGAATGGTTTGGTCAGTAACAGGTTCAATGTCCTAATATTTGCCTTCAGATAATGCAGAGTCTGTTACTTGGATAAAATCCATCTGCAGTTACTTAAGAATGTAGTAGGAAGTATATACAGCTTCCAGTCAAAGAGGATACGCTTTAGGCCTGCCTTCTTGACATACTGTCTTTATGATCTAGAATTTGAACAACTCTTAAAATGTTTGCTGCTGCAATTGAGAACACTTAAGAACAAACAATGATATACGTTATCCTACGTTTTGGTGCTGACTCTTTTGAGGGTATTTACTCTTGTCACTGTGGTTTCACAGATCCGTCTAGTCACTAATAACATCGTTGCTGGACACTCAGACTAACATAAGACGATACAAAACTCACTAACCAGATCTTGGTCAGGACACCAAGAAAAGGTTATGTGGTATCCCTTAACTCTAAGGTAACAATCATATGCCAGCTTTCAAGGATCTACTCCAAGAAATAAATGTATTTTATGAACACTTAGTAACAATAAAAACAAATACACTAATTCAAAGTTAACAACTCATTACTTAGAATTGGACATGTGAAAAATGGACAAAGAAATTCTCGCACAACATACGAAGTATTGGTGTTTAATAACTGGTTAAATCAACTTCTTCAGCAATACATGTACCAAAGTTCTACTGAAGAAACCTCAAAATGATAACATTCAGTTAAACAATCAGTAGAAACACTGGCATACAAGAGAAACAGTTTTATATACAAAGTATGGCAATTACTAATATATATACACCAAATTGTATAAATAATGAAATGAACATGTCTGCTGTGTTAAAATTGAGAAGGTCATGAGATCAAGAGAAAAATGACAAAGCTTAAAGTCAGCCACAAAGCTAGCGTCACAAATAATTATTTTACCACCTAAACTGAACCAACGATAACAAATATATGCACAACGGCATAGTGACCTATATATATATATATATATATACTAGTCTGCTGGACTTTGCTACTCTATCAAGCAATTAGAAAACAGATCACTACATCTGATTCCAGGCTACGCTTGTAAATAATCATATGTTCTGGACGCAAATAGATAGAGGTAAACCATTCAAACTAAATTAAATATGGATACAGTGAGTTTTGAATGAAACTGAATTTAAAACCTACAATGTTTTTATAACGAGTCTTAATACTAATGTAAATAGGTGTGATGTATCTGTAACAAGGCTTAATAGTAATGTAAATACCTGTGATATTTCTATAAGAAGGCTTAATAGTAATGTAAATACCTGTGATATTTCTATAAGAAGGCTTAATAGTAATGTAAATACCTGTGATATTTCCGTAAGAAGGCTTAATAGTAATGTAAATACCTGTGATATTTCTGTAAGAAAGCTTAATAGTAATGCAAATACCTGTGACGTTTCTATAATAAAGTTTAATGCTAATGTAAGTACCTGTGACGTTTCTATGGGAACTCTCACTAGTAATGTAAATACCCGTGATGTTTCTGTAACAAGTCTTAAACTTTAAAGTTAAAGCTAATACAAATGCTGTAACACTACAATAAAAACATGAAGGCTAGCAGTGTGTACAGTTCCCTCGTTAAATGTTTTTAATTTTCTGTTTAATTTATTCTATTCTTGGTAAAACGATTATTAAACATGTTGCTGAAGGACATATTAAAAGTTAAGAGAAACCTTGTTTAAACTATATGTGAGTAAAGGGGTACTGGTTTACTGTTAATCATACATAATTAATTCGATAAATGTGTTAATAAACAAATAAAAATCACCATAAGCAATAAAAGGCAAAACCTTTATTAAATGTTCAAGGCAGTATGAAAAATTGGATGGTAATAGAAAACCTTATACTGACTAGATTTTGCATGAAGAGAGCCTTTTTAATCATTTCTTTATTGGTGTACAACAGTTAACCCATATTATACACATGTAAGATCTAATAATGATATTAAAATGTGGGTTTGATTTGGCAACATTTTCATAATTGTACCTGAACTTAACACACTGAGAAACAAACTCTTAATTTTTTGTTCTTACAAATACAAAAACTTTTGATACAAACATCTTTTTTTTTTCTTCACTAAACAAGAACGCCTTATTTTTTATTTAATTCTAAATAACTTTTGTACTGAAAAAAGATGCTTAGCTTTCAATTCTAAATAACTGAAACCTTATTAAAGCCTGGTAAATCATGCATTCAATGAAGTAAAGCCTAAGCCTTTACTATTTTTCCTGATAGTCAGGGTTAAGGATATTTTTCCATATTTCACCAATCATTCTGATTTTTCCTAAATCTAAAATTTACAGTTAACAACCATTAACAATACAAGCATTCTTGAAAAAGAAAAATTCGTACAAAAACATGATACTTAAGTACCCAAAGACCATTAAATGTAAACCCAGCTTAACTGTTAAAAACAATAATTTTTAGTTTAAAATGTTGCACTTAACTACCATAATTTTATTTAAAAGTACAGAAACTGTTCAGATTAAATACTGAAAATTTAAAAGTAACTTATGTAAGTCACTTTCTTCATAATTCAATATAACTCAATTCCATGTAATTAAAAAAAAACAATTGACTACTTTTTATGAATGAATGGAGAGGAAAATGTTCATAAAAAGCTTTTTTCATAATTAGACATGACTATAAAAATGCCTAAAGTAAAGTTTATAACTTTAATATTATGGATTACTTCAGATATTGAAATTCATCTCAAGAAATGAGCTTATAAATATTTAAAAAATTATGCTTTAAATTCAGTAAACTTATCACAGTCTAAAGTGCATGTCCACAGAAAATTTTTCAAAATGCCCAAGAACAAAAAAAAAAAACTATGCAAGTTGAAAATTGTGACATGCTTGTGATTTGATTCAAGAGCATTATCATCAAAGAAACTTAAAGCAACTTGGACTATGCTTTATTATTGAATGATTTGGCAGGCAATTCTGTTTCTGACAACAACAACAAAAAAACTTGCTAAGCATAATTCAGAGAAAACTGATTTTGACTCAAACATTAAATACCTTAATAATGATATGGTACACTACACGTGGGTGTTAAACACTAAAGGTTGACCATATGATATACAGGTCCACATGTGAAGTGTAAAAATTCAAATATTCGTATACAAGTAACTGCATACATGCATAGAGAAACTTCATTTATATTTATATACAATTGTCAGGTTACTTTCCTTGGCAAATGTGTGTACTAACAAATAATTCCATTGTACATATAACACACATCAAATAGAGTTCCCGTCACAACAAGTGGTTGATTGTTATGTTTAAACCATAAGTATAAAAAGACAACAGTTTTAATAGTAAGGTCACAAAACCGGTATTCATGTTTTCAGTTTTTTTGGGGGAACTGAAATGATAACAACAACTTTCAAATTGTTGGAAATTACAAATATTTCACACACATAACTAGTGAACTTTAGCAAGGGTTACATTTTATGTGCTACACAATAATTGGTGTGGGATTATTCAAACACAAGTACTATCAAAAGTGCAACCAGTTCAAAATATCCACGGCTTAGCAGGACTTGCTTATTTACAAAATTACTTACACACAAGTCTTTCATTTGGTGTGAAGTACTGATAATTTATATTATCATCACTTTGACTATAAAGTATATTACTTGTAGTTGGCCTACAGTACAAGGCTATCTTATCCATTTTGTCAGAAATTCTTACTTTTGAATGCCCTTCAATTGTGCATAGCTGAGGTGAAGTATTCTAGGTCAGATTGACCAAACAAAAATATTTCATGCACACACTTGTTGTTTGCTTCAAGTCAGTATTATATAATCTGTTAGTTGCAGATAAGATGCCAAGTTACTATATGCATCATAAAATTACTGACTGTACAATTTAAGGAGTTTCTATTTTTATTTACTACAGTATTTGTGTATTTTCAGTGCTCAGTTACATATTGTTGCATAACAATCACATTGTGATATTTATGTGAGATTTAAATACCGTTGTTTAAAGATGACATTGTTATGTTTGTGTGGGATTTCTATTTATCACTATCTTAGTGTATTTTCAGTGTTCAGTTTCATATTGTTGCTCAACAACGACATTGTTACTTATATGTGGGATTTCTATTTATCACTGTTTTTAGTGTAGTTGTAATGCTGGGTTACATACTGTTCATAACAATGTAAACTGTCATGTCTAACTAGGACATGCATTTTTTACAATTAACTATTTCACTGTATTTTCACTTAAGTATTTGCTGTATACTATAGATTTAGTCTATTCCAAGGTGTCTAGCTGCATTTATAAACAACATTAATTAATTCTTCGGCTGTACATTTATGATATGTTACTAGTTATCTTGGGAGAAATTAATTAAAAATTGTTCACAAATTTCTGAAATTAATTATTCTATTCATAATGGTAACAGCAAAAAGAATTTCTGACAATTCACTGAATTTTATATACATTTTGATGCAGAGTGAAATATCAAAATACAGTCTAGATTTTATCCAATAATGCAAGTTTTCAGATTTAGGTGTCTTTGAGTTGTAATAACTAAACATGGACAAAACAGACAACTAGAAGTTATTTTAAACTAGATCTAACCCTCGTTATCAATTTTTCAAATTGTAACGAAGTCATATCTTGCACCACAAAACATTCAACATTGTTAATTTACACATACTGAGGTAAGTTTTTTCATCTTTTACTTCACACAACACTATTCATTGATTTTTTTTTTGTCAAATCTATGACAGATCGTTCCTTCAAGTTAGTTACCTAGAGTTTTATAACATAGTGTCAGTATTTAATAAAACAAAGTACTGTAACATTCTGATCTGACTAGTCTATTTGTGGTTAGTGTAGTCGCACTTAACGATTCACTATCATAGTTTATGATATGTGAAATGTCAACTAGTCAGAGAGGATAGTAACTATCCATATCATATTGCAACTTTATCTCAGTATGAACTAGTTAATGCTATAGGTTATTTTTATTTGATACCTAAATATCATACACTCATGCTTAATGTCTAAGTTTTGTTTTTAATGTTTACAATGCTCATTGGTTAACTTTTAAAATTATTTGTTTATATAAACAACTGTAACTGAAATTTTCAAAGTAATTTATTACAACAAAATTTTGGCTTATGCCTTTACCATGATGACAAAAACATCAAACAACCTGAAAATCAACTCACAACATTAAAGAGCAGAGAAACATTGATTGCAATAAATTATTTATAAAAATGGAATTAGTCACGGGTAAAGTTTTCTAAGTAACCGAGAAAAGTTATAGGGAAATTAAACAAACTGAGGCTGTTTATGACGAAATGAAAATGTAGCCTTATTTAACGAACTACAAAACAGCTAGTAGCTCCGTTTGTACTTTAAAAAAACAAATAGTGAAGCCCTAAATTGTAGTAGGAGCAACACAGAAGCATAATACTTTTTAAGTACTGAAAGGAACAAAAGATACCTATTATTTATTATATACAAAAAAGGGTTCTAATAAAACCTTTCACCTAAAATAAGCAGTTTTTCCAATTTTGTATTTTAAAAACATAACATTTAATAAAAATTTAAAAACAAAACTAATCTGCATTATTTATATGTTCTCTCACTTTACTTCACAAAAATTTAATATTTCAATATTAACATCATGGTTGGAAACAGAATATCTTTTGAAAATTAGTTATTCAACATGGTCAGACTAATCCAACATGGACCATGCAAGTTCCAAGTCTAGTAAGGAAAGAAAGAAAACAAAAGAATAAAATTGTCACTCACTTAGAAAATTCTCAAAAGTTAAACTGGCACAATAATCTCCCTTTTAGAAACATTTACACAGAATCATAAAGTTAATAAAAATGTACAAAAAAATGGCGATTTTACCACAATCCATTACTAAATTGTATGGGCACATTGATGTTGCAATTAAACTAGTTATAACAAGGGCTTCTAGAAACTACTGCTGTCAATAAACCATTCTTATCTCCCTCTAATTGTTTAAAAGGCTGAAAAAATTAATTGAGATGAAGGACGATTCAAATCAAACACAAACCACAATGATCTCAAATGCAAAAGTATGTTTAGGAAAAATGTATAAAATGTGTTTCTTGCAAAAAAAAAATTGCAAATCATGGCTTTTGTTAGATAAAAGAACAAGCGGCCATGTCATTTTAAACATAAATGGTTTCAGTACTACAAGGCAAAGGTCACTACAAGCACCATAAGAGAACTTATCACTAGGTAGTGTGTAAATACTAACTACACACACACACACACAGTGTCCCGTTTCATTTTTTTTACTAGGCTATATCTTGTTCATGGTACTTGTTTTTTTGTACATTATAACATAGTATGATTTTAACTCTTCTGTACAACCATTTCCAAAATTCAGTTACACCCAGTAATGAACTACACACTACTGATTTGAGAATTCTTTCTTGGTGATAGCAGCTATTGCCTCCTCTGGAAGCAGGGACACGTCTGAGAGAATACTTGTTGATGTGCTCAGGTGCCGCAGACAGTTTAAAACAACTGAAAAAAGGAATGCTCTAATGATAATTAATACACTGCACAGTTTTTTTTAAAAGGAAAAATTTCAGAATCTTGATTGTTAAAGGATATTTTCTTTTATCTTTTAAAGGTTTAAAATTTTGAAGGAAGTATTAGGAATTTAAATATACATAGTCAAAAAACAACAAGCTATGCTGTGAAATGCTTAAAAATCATTGAGCAATAATTAAATATATATATAAATATAAAATAACATTGATTAGTTTATAAAAACATACAAGGATCCACTAGCTTTTAATAAACAAACAAAACATTTTTAACTGAGATATACATACTACTAGCCTTGAGGTAACTCCTTCTTAATTTCATTTTTCAATGTGAACTGCACTGGTGCACGATGACATCATCATGTGAAAAAAAAGCCCTCCACCAATAGGAGAGTGACACAACCTCCATGTACAGTAACTTTTCCTATGCACTTGCACTCATGCATCATTCCGTAGCTGCTGGTGAGGATCCTAGCACAAAGATTTAACTATATTTAAGGTCCCACTGCCCTGGCCACCAATGTGGGATTTGGGTACCATGATCCCTTAAATCCAGCCCAGAGATGTGGAAGTTATCATTTTCCTAATCT